ATTATGTCGCCCGTTTTTCCGTCGATGAGATAGACGGCGTGCAGGTGGCGGATTGAGATAAGATAGTTACCTGCTTTGGTCTAAACCATGGAATGTCAGAGGTGCTTACAGGTCGTCGGGAGACATGTCCTGCTCTTACCTTCTGAATGCTGTTCATGTGATACGCATCCCAGCCTCTGCCCATAGGCTCGTAGGAGTCCATGGGGTTAATGTGATCAAGAGCCCGCCAATCGAACAACACCTCATTAGTCTCAAGGTCGATCTCTTGGAAAATGGAGTCCAGGACCTCGAATCTGGGGGGCGTTATCCAGCCTTTGTCTAAAAAGTCTGATGAATGGGCGTTGATGGCGTTGACGCCTGTGACCAGAGCCGTTCCGTTCCCGGTAAATGCAAATTCGTGGAGGTCGCTGTGAACTTTGATGTTTCGTGCCCATATTTTATACACCAAGCGGTAGGTGTCGTCGTAGGCGAGCCCATAGCCGTCACCTATACCATCGCCTTTCTCACCTTCCCAAAAAGTCAAATACTTCTTGCCGAAATTCTCTTGGACACGGGTACCGAACACATTCTTGAAGGTCCGGTTCATGTAGACGGCACTCAAGTCGTTGGCATCCAAGATGAGCGGCGACGAGAGTGGCGAGGAGTCGTTACCATCATGTTTGATGAATATATGGGACCCTTTCTCAGAGATGGCACTCTGGTCCCATATGTTGACCTGTAGAAGGGGTGCATATTCGGAGCTGGAGTGAAATTCCAAGTGAGGACGGTGTCCTAGCGCTCCGTCATTGTACTCTTGGTAGTTGGTGGATACATAATCTCCGCGGGCTGTCCGAGCGAAGGCGGCAATGCACGCCCAAATAAGGGGAGGAATCATTGTTAACCCGACACAAGATGTGACAGGCGGCAGGTATTCAGCTCCAGCGACATTGCCGGAAAGGAAAATATGAGGTTGAGTCGCCTCAAATGTATTTGGAGGACGCCAGCCATGCTAAAAGGCAGGCCGGGGTTTTTCTTAGGAGGGGAACACATGTCCAATAACGGCTTGACGAACAGATTTGTGTACAGCGGACTCTGAAGCTTGCGTACGCGTCTTCTGGTCATGGCGCCTGTTCTCCAGGCCACGCCTCCCACCCAGGGGTTGCCGGGATTGTGGGACAGCGATCCACGGACAAGAACCGAACGCTGCTAGTATAGTAGCTAACTGGATACTAGACTGGGGTTAATAAAATCCACACGCGACCAGTCCACCGTGATATTCCGCGAATGCCTTCCATTCACAAAACTGAAGAGAATCGAGATGCCATACTCTGATCGACGTATCGCATCGGCGATTCGCCAGCCCCGAACTGTTGACTTGGGGGATGTCATTGACCTCGTCAGATTCTGCTGATTCGTGTGCGCGATGGGGCTTTGAGTGGATCCCATTCGTTATCTCCTGGTTCCGTTCGGATATCTCGGTGGCCACTAAACTAAATTCTGTGCTTCAAGGCCGACATCTGGAACTTCCCGGCAACCAATTCGTTGCATGACGTGGCTCATGACGGCCACGCGACACTTATGGAAAATTTTTTGACCGTAGAGGCGTGTATTGATCGGCACATACTTTCTGGATAAGAACAAGCATGGCGTTTGGCAACTGTCGCGCCCGTCAGGGGATAGGCGCCTGTGGTTCCGGCGGAGAAGCCAAGAAGCAAGCGCTTGGCATTGTGAAAGGAGATAACGATTCGCGTTGCCAAACCTCACCATGAAAGTGTACAGCCCAGGCATACCTCAGTGGGCTATTTATAGAGAATCATCAAAGCTGTGGATGTGTATCGGATGACTTCGATCCTGAAGTTCCTCGAAAATGGAGTCATCCAAAACGGGAATGGCCTCACCGCCTGTCCATGTGCCCAAAAATGTGGCGTATCATGCTAGGGTTATATATAGTATTCAGCATGCAACCACTAGGCTAAGGCTGGAAATATACATCCAACTGAACTAATTCACTAACGCTCAAGTCGGGATTGGCTGATCTGAACACAAGGTTTTCACCCTAGAAAACGATGTAACTAAAGGTTATGTTTTACTATGCGAAATGGATCCGATGTCAGATGTGCCGTGCACTTGCTTCAGGAAACGGCGGCAAAATCCATCGGATTGAAAGACCGATCATGTCTTGCTAGATTATAAGGCAGTTTGTAAGATATTCAAGTAGAATCAATTCTTTAGTACCATGATGATGAAAACCGGATACAACTGCCCATCGCATGAGTAATTGCTTGTACGTCTCCCATATGCAAGACTGAATCTACTAATTATATAAGTATCTCTTGATACAAAAGTAGACTGAAGAGCAGCCCTTCAATAAAACGTAAAGGAATGAAGTGCAATGATATGTAACATACCTGGCCGTGCTTCTGTGTAGCTTGGACCAGCCGTTTCATTTCATTACACTGCGTTACGTTCAACTTCTTTATCTTCCTGCAGGAATTCGATCTGAACTCATAACCCTGTATACCCTATATTCGATGTCACCTCTTCTGCACATGATAGCATTGCGTTGAATTGCATTGCAATGCGACTAAATGTTTTCTCCAAGCCCTGGTCATTGTATTGCATACCGCCGCATTTCACTACATCCCATGAAGAGCACTTGCCGCATGCCTTCACGGCCGACCAATTGCAATCCCCATAGTGCTGCTATCTGGATCTTTGCATCAACGTTTTGATCGGTCTCAACAAGTTATGCTTTGGTCTAGTGTACGGTGGGTTGGAGAACAGACAATTTGTATGATATTGCCTGCTTCCGTAGACTCCAACCCAGTGCCAGATTGTTCTCCATGTATAAAGGATATAAATGAGGTCTTTACCCGGATAACCTGGTCTCTCCCTACTCCGATGGCCTTTTCTAGTTCAATCTGTTGTCAATCGAGAGCCCTGGGCGTTTGTCTACGCAGCCGGCCTGAAGCAGAACGAAAGGGTTTTACAAAAGGTAGCACATACATTGATGCTTTGGGGGGCTATATTCAGAGCAAGAGTCATTGGCTGACTTTCCATCAACAAGGTTACACTTCTATCTTTTCCCTATGACTACCAGGATTATCAAATATGTCTGGAAAATTCCAAGGCCTGGAGATCCACGTGTAGCTCAGGCATTGATGAGCGCAGCATATTAAACAGCGATGGCGACGAACCCTGACACTTATGAAATCCTGATCAGGTAAATTGACCGCTGAGCCTATTAAAATATGGCTTATGAAAGATTATTAGATCGAGAATTCATGCAAGCACTCTCACTCAAGGAGCTTACCGTGCCGATGGTCCGCACATCACAATTACTTCCAAAAATAAAGAGCAGTGCTGAGAAAGAAAACATGAAGTAAGTCACAGTTACACAACATCCCTGGACTCCTCCATAGTCGTGAATATGAAAGCAAGTAGCTATATTAAGTTAGACAGTATCACAGATATAAGAGAAAAGAAGATCTGGCCCGCTGGGCTCATGTCAGAGAATATAACCTATAATAAATAACTTAGTTTATTTTAAATCCTACATGAGCTTTGAGACTATGTCCATTATCTTATTTAGATAATTATATCTACCTGGGTTAGCAGAGAAGCCCCGTATTAATAATTAGAAGAATACTCCAGAGTTTTTTATATTATTATTAAAGCCGTCAAAAGTTATTCAAGCCTGGAATAGTCTGCCTATATTTATATTCATGTCTGTAGCACCCATTGTTCTACGTCAGATTAATAATATAATTATTATAATATAAATAGAATAAGCTTATATATCTTTCTAGGAGGACTTCAGTTGTAAGACTACCTGCATGGATACTAAAAATAATAATATACCATCTAGTCCTTCTAGATCAGAAAGCAGCATAATAAAAGAGTGGTATGGTTGTAGCTTGTAATGCCACCATCTATATTAGCCTACACTATTCCTAAATACAAAAATTATAGTTTTATAGTGTCAAAATCAGCATGCTATATCTGAAAGAAGATTTAAGATAATTAAAAGAGGATGATCAGATGATTGTCGGCCCTTTCTAGTATTTTAGCTGACTGCACTGCGACGGAGAATGGATAAGTCCGATTCCGGTATTTTCAGCAATACAGGGTGCTCTACTGTTCAGTCACCATACTTCTCCATCAGGCATCCATCATATATATTTATTCGATTTTGGCGGCGAAGCAAACCATCAGTGAGATCATAACCTACCAGAATATAGAAGGTAATTTCTATCCTCAGAAATTCACATCCAGTATTCTTTACTTAGCTCTGAGGTGCTGCATTATTATCTTTATATTACAGCCTTCATCCCTTCTATATCCTGGCATTACAATAATATTTTACGCTTGCCAGGATAACTTGGAGCTTACATAAACTCATTATTTATACTTAAAATATAACAATCTTAACTAATAGATTGGTACTAACAGTTAACTTATTCTCATTTAACCAGTATTCTATCTTTTATGTATACTATAAGATGAGCTCTGGATTGCAGAATACAGATTAGAGATCACAAAGAAGGTCTCTGACAACCCTATTCACAGCTCTTTCACCACACATCATACGCATTAGTGGCCACCAAAACTGTCGGCTTTGTTCGCGACCCCTTTTTATCTTTTTTTTTTATTCTTTTTTTTTTTTTTTTTTTCTCCTTGGCAGTCTAAAATGGCTGAAAAGAAATTAATTAATATAGAAGAGAACAAAATAAACCCAGATAGGCCAGTCAGATACATCCTTATACCATCCTTATACCTACATCCTTAGTGCTAAGCTAATATCAAGGATCAGACTATCTATAATATATAGAAACCAGCAGATGGGCTATTTAAGGGTGAATCTATTATAAAATAGATAATATTCATGTCGAACAGTGAAAATTGCGCTGGATTTATAAGAGTTATTAATAGAAAAGCAGGATATACAAGTGATATTCTAAGAAAGTTCTATGTTCCTCCAGGCCACAGCTATGAAATCTTAGAGTACAAGATTATGTTCACTCGAGCCTGAGATTTATTATTTTAAACTTATGGATGGTCTCCATCAGCAGTTTGCAATTTACTCTAATATTACAAGAACTATCTTCATCCTCACTAGTGGGTATAAAGATGGTCATGCAGCTTGTCATATTCCCTTCTTACACCTCTTCTTTTTTTCCATTGATTACTTGTATATATCTCTTCTTGCATTACTTAGAGGAAATATGGAATGTTTTCTCGTCAAACTAGCGAGTACGCGAATTAAATATCTGTAATATTTAGATTCAGCAGCTTTACATGAAACAGAGCAGCACGCTCACTTACGTCTTAATTCACGCTGTGGGAATAGGGACTGCATGAAATTGATATAATAATAGTTTCCAGTAAAATCCTATTCTGCAGCTGTTGACTCAAGGAACTTTTGCGCTTTCGACTCTAGTCGGAACTGGTACTCTTCATAGTTCTCAAGACAGACCAGAGAATTCAGTACAGCTTGAAAGCTCGTCTTGCCACACTCTGTTAGGGTGACCACTAACACCGTGGCGAAGAAAAGATGGTCACTGACGTCTTGAAGCTCTTTGTAGGCACCACAGGCGCGAGTCTTCCGCCATACCGTTACTGAAGTCTTAGAACACTCTCGATGGTCTTCCCAAACAAACCGGAGACGACCACTTTTCGGGACTTTCTGGTCTTCGCGACTTAGCCCTCCCTTTTTCAATTCTAGGATCTTGGTATTGATCTTGTGAATTATGTCAGCCTGTGGAGTTGCAACTAAATCCATGACATCTATTGACCTCCACTGCTGATGAGATAGGGCAAAATTACCGGGCGATTTTGAGTACGATACGGAATGAAATCCAGTGAGGTAAAACCAGATGATATGAATTGAAATAGAGTGAGGTGAGGTGGAATTTAAGATGCAATGTCGCTGTTACCCCTCACGAAAGAACCATTGCACTAAAAGCAGGGATGTGCCAACTTGTAAGGCTGACCGGCGAGGCGAGGAAGGCTGTACTTGGTTTGGTTGGTGGTTGATTGATTACATTTAATTACATTACACCTCACTACATTCCGCCACAAGTTTTTGACGTTGCCCCCTTGGAGGAAGCTTGTCCACTCACTATTGTCTGACCAAGTCATGAAAGCGACTAAATATACTGCAGAGTAATGTATAATTTGATAAAATGAACCTCCTGGGCATCAGCGTCCTCAAAAGGCCACATTTCGTTACTTTTCCGGGATTATCAGGGAGATTCCCTTTCACACGCTCCCTCTGCTTGGATTCGCGCCGCCCAACGAAAACAACCCCGGCTCAGCACCATTCTATGTCTACTCGAAACCGCTCCAGCCACCTAAAACCCCTGGTGTATCAGTGGCAAGAAGGCGTTGAAGATCTCGAAGGCTACCGCCCAGGTGGCTATCACCCCGTTCACATTGGCGATAAATACCTCAACGGTCGTTACGAGGTCATCCACAAGCTAGGTTACGGTACCTACTCAACTGTTTGGCTTGCCGAAGATCATCTAGAGGCGAGGTACGTCGCGTTGAAGATCCTTATCGCTGCTACCCACAAAGGGTGCTCGGAAAGCAAAGTGCTCCACGCATTGAGCTCTGCGAAAGCAGATCATCGTGGCCGCGCCTATGTTCCATCATTGATGGACGAGTTCACGATTGATGGGCCAAATGGCTGCCACCTATGTATTGTGAGCGAAGCGGTCGGGTGTAGCGTTGCGCAGTCAAAGGAAGCTAGCATAACTTGGAAGTTTCCCGTCAACGTCGCTCGAGCTATATCCGCTCAGCTTCTACTAGGTTTGGACTATATTCATTCATGTGGTGTGGTTCATGGTGGTAAGTCGATCTTCGTCCCTATCCCCATCTATGGCAAGACTACTGATACGCGCCAGATCTGCATTCGAACAATATCCTCTTCAAGACTCCCTCTCTCGAAGGACTGACGATCGAGGAGCTTTACAACCGCTTGGGAGACCCTCAGAAATTGCCTGTTGAGCGACTTGACAAATGTCCAACTGGTCCAGAGGCTCCACGGTATTGCGTCTTGCCTGCGATGATGTTCCAGTCAAGTGAGGATGTTGTCGATGCTCAGGTTATTATCTCGGACTTTGGCGAGGCTTTCTTTCAGGACCAAGAGCGCAAAGACTTACATACCCCTATACTACTTCTTCCACCAGAATTTTTCTTCCATGAGAGGCTAGGTCAGGCCGTTGATGTATGGACTCTTGGTTGTACCCTCTATGGAGTCCTTGGCGAACGTCCTCTCTTTGAGGGTTTCATGCCAGACGAGGACCATACCATCGCAGAAATGATTAGTACTTTAGGGCATCTTCCGAAGCGATGGTGGGATCGATGGCAACGAAGGACGGACTTTTTCCTTGAGGATGGATCATGGAAGACGGATACGACTCGAAATCATGCTCCATATTCCCGGCCTTTGGCCGAACGTCTGCGCATTATGGGACGGGGAGAAGATCCTTTGACGTGCGAGTTCAGCCCGCCAGAGATGAAAGCTCTTGAAGGATTGTTGAGAGCGATGCTGACTTATCAGCCTTCAGAGCGCATCATTATGAGAGCTGCGGTGAACTCAGAATGGATGGAGGGATGGGGTTTGCCAGCGATGAGAAAGACTGGCGTCAATAGTAATATGTGAAAGAGTTGCTTTTTTTCGGTTATCGTTGAGAGAGGGTGCCTTTGGCCTTGAGTATTGATTTGTTGGACCCTCCAAGAGAGCAAATACATTTCTGAAAGCTCTGCAAAGTAATGAATGATGCTGTATTTGGGATGTCTAGACATGTTTATATCGTCACGAGTCTCGGATTAGCAAGGGCAGAATGTCTCATCACACACCTGCCTGCCTGTTCACGTTATGGTTTCAAAACCAGTGATGCGGTGAACACAACAAATTAGCTACATTCTCTTTGCAGTCACTTTATTTTTTGCTGACGATAAGGTAGTAGAGATCGATCAGTCAAACTTTGTCATTGCTAGATGACATGGGAACGCAGATTCTAGTCTTTGGTGGGCAATGGATCCGGAGACCCGCAGTGAGACTTAGAGGATGATGACAGCAAAAAGCAGTAACTAAGCAGCGGAAGCTACTACTTAGTACTATTATGACATTTTTCACGCATGACGGCTCACAGGAAGGGTCGGTCTTGTCTGATTCGTGGTCAATCAGTCGCCTGATAGCTCGTCGACTTCCCGCTGTATACTACCAAAGTCCCTTCATTAGCCTCATTAAGCATACCATGGCAATGAGTGTGGCCGGCCTTTCCATATACGCACTGCTTCCATATTCACTCTTGTTGGTCTTCACAATCAGAGCGCTGATCAAGCCTAAGATAGAAGGTGGTCATGGCAAGATATCGATAACTATGTCCAACTCGAACATCTCCCGAACCCTGAGATCAGAACGCCGTTTCTCTCAAGAGAAGCTTGTAGACCTCGCTTAGACAAGATGAAAGTAACAGGCACCCGTGTGTCTCGCACATCCAACACTATTGACACGGTAGGGCTACCGGATCCAAGTCTACCCCTCACTCAACAAGCATCAATCCAAGGACGGTCGAAGCCTAGCCATTATTTTGCCGATGGAACCGCCAGACACGTCAATTAGATTCATTTAGAGACGAATGGGAGCGTAATTTAGCATTGATACATGAGTAAGAGTAATACTGATAGGACCGGTGATTCAGGGGGCACCAATGAGCGGTATCGCCCTGTTCCAAGTGGTCATCTTATCAGCTCCCAAGGCATGCTTATCCCTATCATTGAGGGGACGAATGCACCCCGCAGCTTGCGATCCAAGGTATAAAGATGTCTCCCCCTATGCCATCAATTCCTTCATCTTCCAGATCTCTTTCATCTTTTCAACTTTCACATACCATGTCCAACCTCCTGTGCAGGACACCGGTTGGCCAACGGGCACGGACCAGTGTCCTTACAAGGCCTACTCTAGTCCTCCAATCTCTCCGATATTGTGCTACAGGGACTACTTTCGAGAAAGTCCCCAGTATCTCCTCCTCTGTAGCTAAGACACAAGCTCCAGAGAAACCCTCTTCTGCACCACCTCATTCTGTCCTGCCTACCAAGACTCTGCTGCGGTCTCTCCTCGTGACCACCATCTCCTCCCACCAAGCCCTCCTGGTTCCTTGTCTATCTATTCTATCTTTCCTTACCAAGCCCCGTGGTGTCTTGCTAGATGTGGACCGCAATCCTCTCATCCATTGGTTCCTCAAGAAGACATTCTACGACCACTTCTGTGCGGGGGAAAAGGAGAGCCAAGTCCGGGATAAGATCCGCCAAATCAAAAGTACAGGACTACGTGGAGTTATTTTGACCTACGCGCGGGAGACAGTGCAGGATTCCAGCACGAACCAAACCCAATTCGCTCACAGCCAGGTATCCCAAAAGGCAACCGACACAGAGTCATGCGAGTTCATCGCCGCCTGGCGGGAGGGTTACCTGAAGACCGTGGACATGCTTGGCGAAGGTGACTTCCTTGCCCCAAAGTAAGTCGATCCCCCATAGTCCAGGGACTCTTTTACCCGATTTGAGAGTCAATCAGTGGATGCTGATCCTTATTATTAGGCTCACTGGGGCCGGACCCAAAGTCACAGAGGCCTTCGCCTCCGGACAACCCGTCCCCACGCAAATGGTCGAGGCCCTGGATGAAGTGTGCCAACGGGTAGTCGAGAAGAACGCCCGTCTCCTCATGGACGCTGAGCAGCACTCCTTCCTCCAAGGAATCCACAACCTCACATTGGACATGATGCGCAAGCACAACCGAAACGGCAAGGCAGTAGTGTACAACACATACCAGGCTTACCTCAAAAGTACGCCGAGCACGATAGCGTCACACATGGAGATAGCAGACAGGGAAGGATTTACGTTTGGATTGAAGCTGGTGCGGGGAGCGTACATGAGATCGGACCCGAGACAGCTCATCCACGATACGAAGCAAGATACCGATATCGCATACAACTCCATCGTGCGGGGCGTCTTGCAGCAGCGTTATCAGGGTTTCGGAGAATCCGGACGCAGGTTTCCCACCACGGATTTGTTTTTGGCTACGCATAATATTGAGAGTGCTGTGGCGGCGCATGAGCTGCACCAGGCTCGCTTACAGGCGGGGCTTCCTACTGGCCGAGTGGAGTTCGGACAGCTGCTGGGGATGGCGGATGGCGTTAGTTTCGGGCTGTTGCAGTTGAAAGATCAGAACAGTGTGGCCCCTGGTGTGTACAAGTGCTTGACTTGGGGTAGTATGGGAGAGTGTCTGGGTTATTTGGTGCGGAGAGCAGCGGAAAATAAGGATGCGGTTTCACGCACTATGGCTGAGCATTTGGCGCTTAAGGCGGAGGTGAGAAGGCGAGTTAGGGCTTTCTTTGGGTAGTTTGTTTAGCTATGTGTATGGAGTATGACCCTGAATGAATGAATGCAATTATGGTATCTATTCATATCTCCAATTAAACCAATTACCCCTCCATGAGTGTCTACATCATCCTTGTAAATCTGCAATATCAGGATATCTTTCCCAACCATGGCATCTGTAGCCGATGCAAGGTGGTCATCCAAGGATACATAGTTACAACTGTAATCAAGTGAGCTGCAACTGATAATCTCGACCGTTATCGGCCGGTGAGCACCCAACTAGGTTTTACTAGGGCATACGCTGAAGTGCAGTTAGAATAGCCGCCAGCTTGCAGTGCGACCCACCGATATCCGAGTGGATCTGGATATACTTCGATTACACTTTGGAGTCAATTGATGCAATGAGGGGTAGTAAAGATGAGGGGTGTTGTCGTGCCTTCATTCCTCCCATGTCTTTTGTTTCTTTTTTCTTCAACTCAAACAGTCAATCTTAATCCTTCTCGTGACACTTAATACCCTAGAATATCACACACACTACCATCTACCTGCAATACATCCATCCATCCATCCATCCCATCAAATCAAACCAACAACAACTACAACTACATCCAAAATGTCTACACCAGAAAACACCCTCGCCATTCTCGGCTGCGGTACATCCCCCCTTCCCTACCCACCATATACATCCATCTACTAACACTACATCCCAGGAAAAATGGGCATCGCCATCCTCAACGGCCTCCTAACCGCCCAACCCACCACAGAATCGACCACCAACACCCCCCTCCCAACTTCCTTCATCGCCACCGTCCGCTCCCCCTCCTCCCTCAACGCCCTCCAATCCCAATTCCACTCCCACCTCACCACCACCCTAACCATCCGCCCCTCTACGGAAAACCACCTCGCCATCTCCTCCGCCAACACCATCATCCTCGCCTGCGATCCCACCGACATCCCCTCCCTTCTCACCAACCCAGGCACAAAATCCGCTCTCTGCAGTCCCACTCCCACCCCAAAACTCCTCATCAGCATCGCCGCCGGCTGGACCGTCTCCTCCCTTCGCAATCTCCTCTCCAACCCACAAAACCTCTATGTTGTCCGCGCCCTGCCCAACATCTGCGCTACCATCTCGCAGTCCATCACAGCGATCGAGCTCCCCTCTGAAGAGTTGCAAGCGGACGCAGAGACTCGTGTGCCGGAGGGGTTGATTTCCCTAACGGAGGGGATCTTCAACAAGATAGGACGCACGGTGCAGGTGCGGCCGGATCAGATGGATACGTTCACGGTACTGGGGGGATCCACGCCTGCGTTTCTGGCGGTGTTTGTGGAGGCGTTGGTGGATGGGGGGGTCGCGATGGGGTTGGGGAGGGAGGAAGCGAGGGTGACGGTTGCGCAGGTGTTGAGGGGTACGGGGGATTTGTTGCTTGGTGGGGAGCATCCGGCGTTGTTGAAGGAGAGGGGGACTTCTCCTGGGGGGTGTACTATGGGTGGGTTGTGTGTGTTGGAGGAAGGGGGGTTTAGGGGTCTCGTGGGGAGGGCGGTTAGGGAGGGGGTTATGGTGGCGGAGGGGATGGGGAGGGGGGTGTGGTTGGTTAATGGGACGGGGAGGAAGTAGATCATACTAGTATATATTCTGATAATTGATGGAGAGGGTGCGGTGTATGTTCAGGTGTTAACATGTTGTATTCAAGTTGTAGTAGGCAACGTTGTACTATGTACCCAATTGTATGTCTCGCAGTGTCATCCAGACAAAAAGTACAGAAGTGAAGTAATATCAACCGGGCCCTCCTTTCGCCAAAGTTTTAGTAGCATCCCCTGGGACCCGTTAAAGGTGGACAGAAAGCATGTGCAAGAAACCAGACATCGTTACTCATTATCGTCACTGAATATATTTTTGACTGGTCCGCTGATAAGAGGAACTGGCGGGATGGGTGTAAGCAGCATTTCCTCCTGAGAGTGCTGTGAGTAGCTGGCTTGTGTTCGATGAATCCCCGCGCTGTAGGTGTAAATGACCGGCTCGCCAATCTGGAACGCTCAAGAATAGAAAGGAATGTAGTAAGAAGCACATCATGCTTAGAAGATTAGGGACAACTGAAGTATTTATCGATAACAAGGCTCGTTGCAGGATCCGAGAGTGAAGTCATGATGACTTCTCTTCATAGCGTTCTCGCAAGTGTCAGTTTCCGGTCGGGATTTGTAGCCCGCTTCATGTCGAGAAGCCACATCGGATATGGCAGAAGCATGCAGCTAGACATCACGCGCGATATTGTGGTGCGTCGCAGGACGCAGTAGATAGTATAGTACGGGCGTAGAGCTCTTCGCTGAAGACTAAGACAAGTGCCGTAATCGCTGCAAGGCTTCGCGGGGTGTATTGCGAGCAAGGCAAAGTCTGCCACCATAGACGGCTTCAAGCCTGTCATGGTAGGGTGGAGGATATATGGTAGATGTCACCAGCGGTTGCACTTGGAACGCATGTGCGGTCGTCGCCGGGACGACAAAGAGTGGCCTGACATAAGAGCATTCAAAAGCGGCTAAGCGATCAAAAATCAGCAAAAAGTGCCTCGTACTTGTCTCTCAAATCATCAGTGTAAAGACTCTGATTCTTCACATCCGGATCTGGATATTCTTCAAAGTTTCCAGTGTCCGCAGGATGATCGACTCGAGGGATGATGGGTCCCTTGATGCGGCGGTAGAACAGGTCATCCCAGTTGATGTCTTCGAAAAAGGGATGCGTCTTGACTCGGGCTGAGCCCCCGGAGATGTAGCCCAACCGCTCAGTCGGGTTGGTCTTGCACAGCAACGATATGATGTTCTGGGCTGCGGGCGACATGTTCTGAGGATAACGTATGTGACCCTCGACGATCTGCTCGTATATGCGCATCGGGTTTTGGTCCCAGAATGGCGGCTGTCCCACAAGGAACTCGTATATTAGGATACCTAGAGCCCACCAGTCTACGGCAAGGCCGTGGCCGCTGTTATGAATGACTTCCGGGGCGAGATACTCAGGAGTACCACACAGAGTATAGGTCTCATGGTCGCCAACCTGTTTTGCGAACCCAAAGTCGACTAGCTTGATATGACCCTCGGCATCAAGCAGGATATTCTCCGGCTTAAGGTCTCGATAAACAACTCCCTCCACGTCATGGAGAAACTCGATGGTTAACGCTATCTCGGCCGCGTAGAATTTGGATGTATTCTCGTTGAAGCGTCGCGCGCGTCGTAGGTAGCTGAATATCTCGCCTCCAGGGCAATAGTCCAACTATGACGACATTAGTCTTCCATCGCCATGATGCCATAGGTTTCACTGCTCGGGTTGAGGATTGGTCGCGCGTGATAGGAATACAGATGAACCTAGGCTTCATACCAACATATATAGATTCTGATCATCGGAAAAGGAGGCAATCAACGTCGTGATGAAGGGATGGCCGGAAACATCTGCGAGAGTCTTCCGTTCGTTGCGGACATGCTCGACTTGCTTCAGCTTGATCACTATCAAATTTCGAAACAGAATCGGTTAGCCAGGTGCTGTTGCTGCAGTATGCATCGCCAACTACATACCATCTGCCTTTCGGAGTATCTTGAGAGCGTAAACCCTGTTCTTGCGTTGCCTTTCGTCGTTCAACTTCACTAACCACACCCGAGCGAATGTGCCTGGGCACAAGAATCGCCGCCGTCAGACACTGGCTAGGTTGCGCAAGCGACGAAGCGAAGCTTACCTGTGCCCAGTGTCTTCAACAGTGCGAAGTCATTGACGTTCAACCGACGAGTCGATATCCCCAGCTGTTTCTCTTCGGCACGACCAGCGATAACGAACGGACTCAGTCGACGCTGATGAGGCGGTCGGACTGAAGCCACTATCTCCTTTTCCCTCTCGTGAATATCTTCCGACCCCATCTTGAACTGGCTAGTTGGGACTGAGAATCTTTGCATGTCGTTAGCGCATCGATGGTTTTGGTGACCCAGAGGGATCCTGTCGCGGAGGACCGCGGGGAGGGGGAAAGGTGTGGGGAGAAAAACAAGGAGTCGCTGGGGTAGCAATTGGGCGAGTACCGGGTCCCTTAAAGCTGGTAGAGAAATGCAGGCGAGTTATTATCGCACATAGAGATTGATCAGGGGAACGGCAACGGCGCGGGGATTCGCAAGAGGATTTTGCGGGATGGAAGAGCTTTGATGAGGCCGGTCTGGCTCTCATCCAGCCGGCGGCGCTACGGGAAAGAAGAGACTCTGACGTTACCGGCCGGCGGGGCAGCCACGGGCCTGTGTGTTCGAGTCCCCCGTCGGTCACCAGCCATCCCCTCGCTGCTCAGCGGTTGCGATCTTCTTTTCAACTAAAAAATGGATCTAAATCCAGGAATAGAAAGATAGAGAGGGATATAATGACATTTCAAGTAACGTATATGCTATTTCAACACTCCAGCAATGTACTAGTACAAGACACCAGACCTCCCCGGACGAAAGGCATCAATACCAGTGCCAGCGCCAACGACTGAGTGGTCCCTAGACAATAAGCAGAATTGCTGCTTCTTGATCGCAATCTGGCTGCACTCATCTGTACAGCAGTATTCCTATAGGGGACAAAAATACGTCCATGGTGGACATGAGTGGCCAAGAACCGGGAACACCAAGCGCAACATGCAGAACCCGCTCAGCCAGAGCTTTTGGAGTTGAGAATCAAGCCAACAATCAATCTATGAGTGTAAGTGTGGTATCTTGACTGCTCCAGTGGATGTGTACTTACCCGTAGAGACCAAGAACCTCGCCAAAAATCAAGATAAGAATCATACCGACATAAACACGAGATTGTTGCATGTACGCACGAACACCCTGTATCCATATTAGCACCTGCGCACTTCCATCCAGACACTCCTCGCAATGACTGCTTACCGCATCTCCGACAACACCAATAGTATAACCGGCAGCCACGCCTGCGAGGCCAACCGACAACCCCGCAGCAAGGTGCATGAAGCCACTTCCAAGACAATATCATGAGACTACTTTGTATATAAGTGGAGGCGGAAATCGGGAAACGTACGTGTAAAGGCTCATATGCTTGTTCGGGGGAGGATCCATGTCACCGGCGATGAGGACCGAGATGACGAGGCCGTAAACTGCGATAATACCGGACATGACAACGGGAATCAAGGACTGCACAAGTTAGTACAATCATGACAATGCGGGAGATGCGACAAAAAGCTGGAATAGATCCAACATACCTTCATGATCAGGTCCGGCCTGAAGGTTCCCACTCCGGAGATACCAATTCCTGACTTCGCCGTTCCGTATGCGGCTCCCATTGCTAGATGAAGTGAGCTGGTATATTCCCGTAACAATCAATCAATACCCCCAGCTTTGCGAGTCGACATACATCCGAAGATCATCTTTGGAGAGGTGGTTAGTGTGTGGTGATCGGAACGGGTGGCGTGTAGTTGATACTCACAGCTGCCGCAATACCTGCCTGTTTTTGGTGAGTTAGCAAGCGATACATGTCGCGTGAAACTTTCACAATCAAGACCGTGAGGGAGCAACTTACGAAGGAGAAGAACGGAGCGAACTTGGGGGAGAACTCGCTGTCCGCCATGATGACCGAATCCACCCAGGAAGCACGAGGATCAGGAGTGAGAGCAATGGAAGGGGGGGGAGGAAGAAGAAGAAAAGGAAAGGAACAAAGAAGCGGAGAAGCAAGAGCCTGGATAGGTGAGACGAATCCTGGGCCAAAGCAGAAGAAATCCGAATTACTATCGTCTCCAGACGTCTGTCGGAAGCAGCCAGCTGGATAAACACGATAGCTTTGGCAGGTCGGCGGAATGAGAGGTTGACCGAAGTAGTCCGCCCGGGCCACCGTATAGGAGAAGGTGGCCTATCCGGGTTAGGAGTGACATGTGCCTGTTCGACCCAACAACCCCCGTGCTCTTCCTTCTCCTAGACTCTCCTACACGGCCGCCGGTCCCATTCTTCACCAACTTCCCTGGCAATCATAATTACTGACACCTGCCTACTTACTCCCACTAATCCACTACTGCCCTCCCTCCCTCTCTCTCCCCACTCTCTACCTTCAACTCTCTCTCCCTCTATAACCTTAAAAACAACTTTCCTTCCCCCCTCCTCCTCCTCCACCCACCCATCTTGCCTGGCCTTACCCCCTCAGATTCTTTTCTCTCCCTCTTCCCCAGGCACGCCACCCCCAGTCTTGATCGACCGATCCCGCCCGAGGGAGCATGCTGAGGTTATGAACTTGCAGGGGCCCTGGCTTGCCGTTGCGCTCAAGGCTCCTAGCGCACTTGGATCGTTAACACACCACGCGGTCTCGACACCCTCCCCAGACTTCCAAATCGCACCAACACTGGACCTCCCAAAGGCATGATACATCGAGGGGGCTTTTGTGTGTAGAGGCTTTTCTTCTCCTATTCGAATTTTATTCTTGTCTTATTTTACTCTTGATTCCGCTTATAAATTATCGCCCCGTGGAGTATCTCATTTTCTTTTTTCCCACCCGCGCTCTCCTCCTCCTCCTTACTCCACGATTCGAAACGATCTCCTCGCGACGCTCTGCACGCTCTCTACGACCAGATTCGATACCCTCCCTTTCTCCCACCTTCACCTCACCCTCTTCTCGCCTCGTGTGATTCACCTTCTTGCCACCTTTCACCGAGATATTCCCCAGAGCGAGGAGTAAAGAGGGGGCTACGTACACACCATGGCCGATTTAGGGGGTCAGCAAGGCCGGAACTACCGGCCTTACGGGCATCCCTCCGCTTTTCAACGTGATGCTGCATTCTCCGAGATTTTCGGCCGAGCACCGGGACGCTCGCAGACGATGACCTCCCAGACTCCTCAGTTCTCCCAAGATCGGGCCCATACCATGTCTTCACACGTGCCCCATCCGCAAATGCAGAGGGGTCCGCCACCACCCGCGCGCCAGATGCAGAATGGATACCCCCCGGGCCCCCCCAACGGTTATTATCAATCGTACGGCGGAAGCGCAGCTACAATGACCTCCCAGCACCCTTCCCAGAATCCTCCACGACCCTATCCCGGACGCTCTGCTTACCCTCAGCCGCAGAGGCTTGATTCGAGACCGAACCACGGGCCACAATATCCGGATGCAAAGGGTTATGCTCGACCAGTGCCCCACCCTGCCCTGAACTCCGACGCTTACAGATCAAGGTCAATGGCGAGGTTGGGAGGGCCACCGATATATCAGCCACCATCCAGTGGCTTCAACCATACCTCTGCAACCTATTCCCGCCAACAGCCCTATAATGCAGGCGCCGCCCCCATGACACCTCAGGGACGTGTGGTTCCGGAGAGGAATCAGAACGAGCGCTCCATGTCATTGACCACCTACTCCACTGACCGCGACCACGCTCATACAACACAAACTGGACGGGTCATTCCTCCCAGGCGACAGCCTTCCGGCCCTAGTCCACCCCCGGAAGCCTCCTCGTACCCAGCGGATGTGATTAACGCGTATGATGTTAACGGAAAGTCTCGTCCCCCAAGCGATGGCTCCATGAACTCCCGCACCATGTCCATGGCATCCACCGTTGTTCCGGACCGTACTATGAGCATGCAAAGCCAAATTGCTCCGAAGCCCAGTAACACGTCGACTCTTGTCCAAAGCAATTCCCGTCGGAGTAAGGTGCCGCTAGTTTACCCAGCCCTGCTTTCGAGAGTGGCCGATGTCTTCCGTGAGAGGATTACGCTCGCTGAACGGCAAAAGAACGGACTGTCGTATCAGAATGCGTTCTCCGGTGCGGAGGCGGTCGACCTGATCGCCTACATCATCAAGACCATGGATCGCAATCTGGCTCTGCTGTTGGGACGCGCTTTGGATGCGCAGAAGTTCTTCCACGATGTGACATATGACCACCGTCTGCGAGATGCTCCCGGTGAGCTTTACCAGTTCAAGGAAACCATGGGAGAGGAAGCACCCAGTTCGGAGGTAAATGGAGTGTTCACGCTGTTGACTGAATGCTACTCGCCGACTTGCACTCGCGACAGCTTATGCTACTCGATTGCTTGTCCCAGGAGGTTAGAACAGCAAGCTAGACTGAACCTCAAGCCGCAGCCGGGACTCCGCTCGTCTGCCTCCAAGGGCAGTTTGCACGGTGATGACGACGATAACGATAATCAGAAATTGTGGATCAACATGGTTCCTAAGGAGATTTCTGATGGCATTGACGACCGCGAGAAGAAACGTCAGGAGATCATTTTCGAGATCATGTACACCGAGCGCGATTTCGTCAAGGACCTCGAGTATCTACGAGACTTCTGGATGAGGCCATTGCGTTCGGCAGGCAATGCTAATCTTTCGCCAATCCCTGAGCACCGACGGGAGAAATTCATTCGCACGGTATTCGGAAATTGCTTGGAAGTCTTGAAGGTCAACGGCGGATTGTGTGAGGCTCTGAACGCACGCCAGAAGGAGAACCACGTCGTCAAGACAGTCGGTGATATCTTCTTGCAGCACGTGCCACGCTTTGACCCATTCATCAAGTACGGTGCAAACCAACTCTACGGAAAGTACGAGTTCGAGAAAGAAAAGGCATCAAACTCGGCTTTTGCGAGATTCGTTGAGGAAACAGAACGTCTCAAAGAGTCACGGAAGCTGGAGTTGAACGGTTACTTGACCAAGCCAACCACTCGTCTGGCAAGGTACCCCTTGCTTCTGGAGCAGGTTGCCAAGAACACGGCGGACGATAATCCTGACAAGCAAGACATTCCCAAGGCCATCAAGCTCATCAAAGATTTCCTGTCTCGCGTCAATGCTGAGAGTGGAAGGGCTGAGAACCATTTCAACCTTGTGCAGCTCAATTCAGCTTTGAAGTTTCCCCCGGGCGAATATGTCGATCTGAAGCTGACGGAAGAGAACCGTCAAATGCTGACGAAGATGGCTTTCAAGAAAACGCCAACTGACAGTTCTGAAGTTACTGCATACCTTTTCGATCATGCGGTTCTCCTGGTGAGAATCAAGATCGTGAACAAGCGGGAGGAGTACCGAGTATATCGGAAGCCCATCCCTCTCGAGCTTCTGGTCATTGCTCAAATGGACGAGGTGATTCCCAGGGTTGGTGTCGCTAAGAGGCCCTCTTCTAGTCTGCTCTCCAACAAGGCTGCTGCAAATCCGCCCACGACTAAAGATGGCCTGCCCATCACTTTCAGGCATCTTGGTAAGGGGGGTTATGAGCAGACTCTATACGCCACTTCTCCTACGCAAAGAAGGAAATTCATCGAAATGGTAGAAGAGCAACAGAGGAAACTTAGGGAGCGGAACAGCAACTTCTACAATAAAACCGTCCTTTGCGAGAAGTTCTTTACCTCTGTCAACAGGGTAAATTGCCTTGTTCCAGTTGGTATGTTATTACTCAGCTCCTATTATAGCTTTCGATGATATGGCTAATGACTTTTCGGCAGACGGTGGCAGAAAGCTCGTGTATGGTACAGACAGCGGCATTTACTTGTCTGAGCGTTGGCCTAAGGATAAATCGGCTAGACCTAGACGAGTCCTTGACGTGAGCCAGGTTACGCAAATGGACACTTTGGAAGAGTATCAACTACTCTTAGTCCTGTCGAATAAGACGCTCTCGTCTTACCCAATGGAGGCTTTGGAGATTAGTGAAAGTCAGAATACAGTCGCAAAGCGACCCAAGAAGATCCAGGGACATGCGAACTTCTTCAAGGCCGGTATCGGACTGGGCCGTCATTTGGTGTGCTCTGTTAAGACTTCGGCTCTGTCGACGACCATCAAGGTTTACGAACCCATGGATAATCTGGCTAAAGGCAAGAAGAAGTCTGCGGTCAGCAAGATGTTCCAGAGTGGCCAGGATAGTCTGAAGCTCTTCAAGGTGCGTCCACTTTCTGTCTGTGTCCTCATGGTTAGCATTTCTAACATTCAGAGCAGGAATTTTACATCCCCGCCGAATCGTCGTCGATACATTTCCTCCGTTCCACACTTTGCGTTGGCTGTGCACGTGGTTTCGAAGTTGTCAGTCTGGAAACGACCGAGACGCAGTCACTCTTGGATCAGGCCGACACCTCACTCGACTTCGTTGCACGCAAAGAGAACGTCAAGCCGATCCATATCGAGCGTATGAATGGAGAGTTCCTGCTTAATTACAGCGACTTTTCTTTCTTTGTCAACCGCAATGGTTGGCGCGCACGCCCGGATTGGAAGATCTCATGGGAAGGCAACCCTAACGCTTTTGCCCTCTCTTATCCTTACATTCTTGCTTTCGAACCAAACTTCATTGAGATTCGACACATTGAGACGAGTGAATTGGTCCATATCATGACCGGAAAGAACATCCGCATGTTGCATTCTTCCACGCGCGAGGTAAGTCGTCTCCAATCACGTGATCTCCACCTGCAGCACTAACCACTGTCCAGATTCTGTATGCCTACGAAGATGAATCGGGCGAGGACGTGGTAGCCAGCTTGGATTTCTGGAACAAGCCGCAACACTAGGCCCGCTGAAATAAGAAGAAAGAGAGGGGAATACGAGAAATAACTCATGCACATTGACTGCCTTTGACTGCACTTTAGAATGGCCCTATGATGGTCGCAAAGCGCATATATCCACTGCATATTTTTTTTCTTTGAAGCTCAGTTTTCGCTGACCTTTGCGGCCACTTTGACTTATTGAGCTGAACCGAGGATCTTCTTTTTATAATACCTCCATGTTGTCACTTCGATCTGTCTGTATCAGGTCAGCCTGATCAAATTATCTTTGTACAATGAAGCGCATCCATACCACATGCTTATCCAATCACTATTATCCAATTGGTTGTTAGACTGCGACTATAGATTCTAACTAGTCATGGCTCGAGCCTGGAATGCCACCTCACCCATCACGGGCTCACTACCTAATCACCTACTGCGCTCTAGACTGTCACCTGAGTTATTCCTGGCCCTTAGGTGACCCGATCACATGGTCCACTCTGGTCTGGCAACCCAATAGCAGTATATGCGTCCCTCCATAGATACTATTACTTTTATACCCGAAGTCCATCCACATGATCCCTGGAGAATGGCGAAATTCGAAAACACTCAGCGGGACATTTGTGTTTCGAGTATCTTGTACAGGTGGATCTCATATCTATGTATACTATGTTCGAGCTCGTATGCAGAGCAGTCAAGTAGATAACACCACATCTTATCCTAGTAGTACTAAGGCTTCCTAAGTCCGTGGATTTAATCTCAGATGGGTAGACAAATCGTCTATACAGTTCAATGGCCTCTATACATGCAGATTTTTATAGCCTTCGTGGTTTTAGGCTTTGAGAGCCTTCATGCTGGACGTCTCTAGGGTCTATATTCCTGATTATTTATTGAGAATGGGTCACTTATATCTTTCTAAACAAGCAGGATCTTCCTGGTAATTTTCTACCAAAACGGCTGCTACAGGCTCCAATGAGTAGCATTTGTAGATTGTTATACTATTATCTCACTCTGGTCTTCTTCGCCCAATTCATCCGATGACAGCGAACTTTCCGAGCTTTCCGAACTGTCTGACCTCTCTGCACTTTCCGAAATCTCTGGGACTTCTGGACTTTCGGTGACCGTCGTCTGAAGGCTTCTTTTTGGCTGCAAAATTTCCAGGATCTTTGCTCCGCATCGAGTATTCTCCGCTGCTGCTTCAAGTACTTCCTCCGTCACTGGAACTTTTTTCCCTCTCTGTTGAAAGAGTAACTCCATGATATGATGTCCACACCACTTATTTCCTGTTGCTTTCTTAACCACTTCCTCAGTCACTGGAAGTCTTTCTCCTTTCTGTTGGATGAGGATCTCCATAACTTTATGTCCACTGTCCTCATTCTCTGCTGCTGCCTTGACCACTTCTTCAGTCACTGGAAGTTTATCTCCTTTCTGTTGGAAGAGGAATTCCATAAGTGCAGGTCCACTGCCCTCATTCTGTGCTGCTGTCTTGACCACTTCCTCACTCATATGAATCCTTTTCCCTTCTTGTTGGAAGAGTATTTCCAGCATTATGTCCCCAGATATTTCATTCCTTGCCGCTGCCTTAACCACTTCCTCAGAGATTGAAAGGCTTCCCTCTGCATGCTGAAATAGTAATGCCAGGATTTTATCCCCAGACCTTATATTTCCTGCCGCTACCTTAATCACCTCCTCAGACATTGAAAGGCTTCCCTCTGCGTACTGAAAGAGTACTTCCAGGATTCTATCCCCATGCATCTCATTTCCTGCCGCTACCTTAATCACCTCCTCAGAGATTGGAATACTTTTCTCTCCATATTGAAGGAGTAATTCCAGGGACTCATTCCCAGTAACACATCCTGCTGCTGCCTTAACCACTTCCTCAGAGACTGGAAGGCTTTCCTCTCCTTGCTCAATAAGTAATCTCAGAAGCCTCACGTGCCTTGCTACTGCTGCCTTAAGCAGTGCCTCAGAAACTGGAACTTTTCTATCGCAGCATTCAAGGAGATAATGTATATTGTCGTATCCCCACTTATAATTCTTCATTGCGTTTATAATCACATCTTCAGACACCGGGAGATTTTGGCCACGATGGTGAACGATAATCTTTAGAATCTCGAACCCATAAATTGAGCGGTTTCCTGCTGCCGCTTTGAGTACTTCTCCAGATATTGGAATGGCTTCCCCTTCTGCTTTGAGGAGGAGCTTTAATATCTTGGTTGCCTTTATTCCAGTATTCCCTGCCGCTGCCTTGACCACCTCTTCGGAAATCGGGAAGAACTCTCCACGGTGGCGATAGATAGTCTTCATAACCTGATCTCCATGCTTTCCAGAGTTCCCTGCTGCTGCCTCGACCACTTCTTCAGAGATGGGAAGACTGGACCCTTGAAGCTGAAAAAGGAGCTCCATGATTTTATAGCCACATGGTCCATCATTCTCTGCCACTGCCGTGACCATTTCCTCGGAGATTGACAGATCGTCTTGCTCACTTGAAAAGAGGCTTTGCATGCTCGTGTCAGGAAAACGTCGAATATTCTTTGCGGAAGCCTTAGTCAACCGTGAAGCAATTGAATCATCTGTACCACTCAAAACGAGCAAGTGCGCTATATCCTCATATTCTGGCTTTTTTAAGGCCAATGCTCCCATGGCAACGCCTGCCATGATTCGGGTAATATTGTTTCGTCTATATTCCGCCTCCAAGGACTGTTCTTGATAGGCTGGGGCCATATCAAGGAGCTCTGCTTCACGCCAAGACTCAACCTCAGTATCATCGTTCAGAGGATATCTTCACACCAATAGGGCCTCATGGGATCCACCCGGTGTATGCCATTCCTGACCTGTTCCTTCCAAGGACTCTCTAAGGCGGTTTTTGCAAAGGGTTACGGCGGGAGTGATTATCCTGAGATGATCGTTGCAAAGCCTAATGATACTTGGCCTCGAAGCCCCTTGCAGAAGGAAAACGACATCCCCAGGACTAAAGACCTGTGCAAAAAAAGTTTGAAGTTCCCAACCAGCTTCCCATTGGCTTTCATAACCGAACAACCGGGCTGTGTCATTCAGGTACACTTTCACTTTCTGCTGGCCGAAGTCTGATACGTGTTTCACCGAGCAAATATGGCCTAGAGCCCAACCCAAGCCTCTGATAATCACTATATCTGATCCAGGCCATGTTTTCACAGAGCATTCTGGGAAAATGTGATTGATAACTTGCCTGAACACATGATCCCAGGGAAAGGCATAATTTGGCGTTAGAGCTGGTGTCGGAGGTTCGGCACTTAAACCTAGAAGTGCATAAATTTTATCATGCTTCTCAGTAGCATTGTGGTAGCAGTACATGCCAACGAGCTCCCCAATAGTAAGAGTTCCTTGTGATCCAAACTCAAATTTTGGCCGGACAAGCGCCCGCTTGATAAGAAACGCGATTGGGCCTATCATTTCTTGATAATCCAGAGGACGACCCAATCTCTTCAGACCTTCGCAGAAGGCATGTTCATTTATCTGTGCAAAGCCACACATGATATAGATATGTCGTGCGACGCCAACTTCCTGAAGTACCTAATATGATTATCAGGTGACACTTCTTTGATAGTGGAATGTGTGAGAAGTATTATCTTACCCAAATACGACGAAACCAAGCTCTTCGAAACAGATCCACGCATAATTTTCCACACCCCTCAATATCAATATCTTGTCCTTCCGCCAGGCACTGGAGTCCTTCAAGCGCTTTATCACCATCTTCATAAGCCTCTTCAAGCCAAACAGTGACATGTTGGGCCTGTGCATATATCGTCCGCATAAGTGGGATCTGCTCGGTCTTCTCGTTCAGATCATCCTGGTTGATGCATATCGCATCAACCTACAGTATTCTCTCAAGCTGCCGATTCCGGAGACGTGACAGCGCAAGATAGAGGTTCTCCGTTACGGGGAATACGTAATTGTTCAATTTGATGGTTCGAGATTTCGTGTTACATCCCCATACGTAGGAAAGTGCCTCGTAGAGGTGCGAATCCGCGCCGCTGCCTGATGTTAAGTCATAGTTGAAGAGTTCGCATTCAATTTCCGTATCATTATCTTTATTCGGCAGAAGGCGTATCATGCGAGTAGTTGAATGTGGGGATTCTAACGGGACCTCTGTGTAGGTAAAGGCAGGTCCTGTCAGATCAGAGTTGCACTCTAGTCCTGGAGACATGGTGCGATCCAAGTCTCTCATGCGATGTTCAGTGAAGATTGTATGGATCTTATGTGGACGCGCTAAGAAGGAGATCAGAGACAATATATCGCATCTGTCTGAAGCGCAGACGGAGAGATATGTCCCAACGCCTTGACCACTGTAGCAGCGTAAGAGAATGGAGATGGATTCGGGGGGGTGGGCTTTTCTTTGGCCATTAGCTACAGGCGCGCCAACTCACAAGTGGAAGGTGCATGGCGCTGAGTTGGTGCGGCTGAATGGCGAGGTACACTGAGACCGATCGATGCTAACAACATTACTAATCTCCATGAGATTATTCTCACTCCTCTTAGACAGATGGGAAGATGTATAGTGGAATTATGGACCGTAATTTCGGTTCTTATCTCTCCCCGTTTGATGTCTCTATACCCAGTATACCGTGACTAAGTCATGATCGTTCCCATCTAGTTTGGCATACAACTGCTATACACAATTATACGGAGTAGAGAGCAAGGAAAGGACTGGGAATTGCTTTTTCTGACATAAAAAAAGAAACAATATACACCCTCTGTCTGTCGATGTTATAGGCGGAATGATTGTCTGCCAGCATCTACCCAGGTCAGTTCATACAGCTAACTCGGGCAAGGTCAGTATGTGAGGATAGATAATATACTGGGGACTAAGTACTATAGATCAGTAGTATACTGAGTACATATTATGACCATCCATGATTGACTGCATTGAAGTGGGTCTTATTGCTAGTAGATATATATTTTAGCAATCTAAACGTCTTGGATCATGTTACTATCTCTCAGCATACTCCTAAAGAGGTAGAGCTCCAGCTACTGCTAGTAAACAAGGCTCAGAGTTTGAACATCAGTAAAATATACACTGGACACCCCTTAGTGCTATATTTCAAGCCAAATAGTAAATATCGATATAGATGGCAAATAGCACGTTCTAGGTTTCATGGCTTACACGTGGTTGCAGATCAGCTGTGCTGCTTTTTCGGGTCGCGTGGAACGAAAACTGCTTAATAAGCAGTTTGATCATGTGACTTCCAAGCGACCCGGTTACCCACACAAACAAAAAATTTCATTCCACACCACCTTTTTCAATACTCTTACACACCACACACACCTTCCACCACCAATCATTTCCCCCCCCCCCACACCACAACCATGGCGCAAGTGCTTGAGAATGTGAGTATTATTACTTATCAAATACTTATTTACTACTTATATTACTTTTTATGATTCCAAAGTGATTCCAAAGTGAGATTTTGATGAAAAACTAATGAACTTTTGATGAAATAGTCATGGTACCAGTGGTATCTGCGTGAAGTTGAGGCAGGGCGCTT